GAGTGTTGGTCCAAACCGAGTAGACTGCGGGGCCACCTCGGGGCAACTTGAGGGTTGGTTTTACTCGTAGGATGTCTTATCTGAGTGTGCCCTGAGAACGAGATATGTGCAGCTCCTATCGGGATTTGTCGGCACATTCGGGCGGTGTTGCTGGACTTGTTTTACCATTGTCGAGGATGTCTTGTAACCGGGATGCCGAGTCTGATCGGATTGTCTTGGGAGAAGGAATATCCTTCGTTGACCGTGAGAGCTTGTGATGGGCTAAGTTGGGACACCCCTGCAGGGATTTGAACTTTCGAAAGTCGTGCCTGTGGTTATAGGCAGATGGGAATTTATTAATGTCCGGTTGTAGAAAACCTGAAACTTATCTTAATTAAAATGCATCAACCGCGTGTGTAACCGTGATGGTCTCTTTCCGGCGGAGTCCGGGAAGTGAACACGGTGTTGGAGTTATGTTTGACGTAGGTTGTTCTAGGATCACTTCTTGATCATGGTTCATCGACCGTGCCTTTGCCTCCTCTTCTCGCTCCCATTTGCGTATGTTAGCCACCATATATGCTAGTGCTTGCTGCAGCTCCACCTCACATACTTTTCCCTACCTATAAGCTTAAATAGTCTTGATCGCGAGGGTGTGAGATTGCTGAGTCCCCGTGACTCACAGATACTTCCAAAATCAGCTTGCAGGTGCCGATGATATCGTGCAGGTGACGCAACCAAGCTCAAGGAGGAGCTCGATGAAGATCATGTTCGTTATGTTGTTTCCGTTTCCAGTTGATCAGTAGTGGAGCCCAGTTGGGGCAATCGGGGATCTGTAGCATTAGGGGTAGTCTTCTTTTATTTTGGTTCCGTAGTCGGACCTTGTTTGTATCTGGATGATGTAATGCTTTATTCATGTATTGTGTGAAGTGGCGATTGTAAGCCAACTATGTATCCCTTTCCTTATTCATTACATGGGTTGTGTGAAGATTACCTCTCTTGCGACATTTCCTTCAATGTGGTTATGCCTCTAAGTCGTGCTCCGACACATGGGAGATATAGCCGCATCGAGGGTGTTACAAGCATTAAGCATAACAAAGTCATAGCAACATCAATCTCAGAACATAGTGGATACTAGGGATCAAACCCTAACAAAACTAACTCGATCACATGGTAAATCTTATCTAACCCATCATCGTCCAGCAAGCGTACGATGGAATTACTCACGCACGGCGGTGAGCATCATGAAATTGGTGATGGGGGAAGGTTGATGATGACGATGGCGACAGATTCCCCTCTCCAGAGCCCCGAACGAACTCCAGATCAGCCCTCCCGAGAGAGATTAGGGCTTGACGGCGGCTCCGTATCATAAAACGCGATAAATTTTTCTCTTTGATTTTTTTCTCCCCGAACGTGAATATATGGAGTTGGAGTTGACGTTGGTGGAGCCTTAGTGGGCCCATGAGGCAGGGGGCGCACCCCAGGGGGGCACGCCCTGCACCCTCATGGATAGGGTGTGGGCCCCTAGTGTTGATTCTTTCGCCAATATTTTTTATTAATTCCAAAACGTGTCTCCGTAAATTTTCAGGTCATTCCGAGAACTTTTATTTCTGCACAAAAATAACACCATGGCAATTCTGCTGAAAACAGCGCCAGTCCGGGTTAGTTCCATTTAAATCATGCAAGTTAGAGTCCAAAACAAGGTCAAAAGTGTTCGGAAAAGTAGATACGATGGAGACGTATCATTCGCCCATTTCTCTCTCTCTCTCTCTCATGCTTGCATTAGATTTTGCTACTGTTGTTCGATTGCTCCTAGTCTGATGCATAGCCTACTTTTGTAACCTGTTGTTGTTAGTTTACCTGTTATCCTATATGCTTAACATAGGTTGGTTAGTGATCTATCAGTGACCCCTCATCCTTGTCCTTGTTGCCCTATTTGTTATCGATGACTCGATCAACGTGATCAATGTGCAGAGACCGACACCTTATCGCACACCCCCTAGTTTTACGACTCTGCAGAGCTACTATCGAGTGCCGAGGGTGATACCTCGTAACGCACTCCTGATGATATCTCTGTTGTGTAGCTGATCGGTCATGGATTACGGAGGGTGATTCCTCCTTCACCACTCCCGATAAAGACTCCGTCGTGCAACACATCAAATGTGAACCCTTTGAGGGTGATTCCTCTAAGGCCACATTGACGGTTGCATCGAGTGGAAATCCATGAAGGGTGATTCCTCGGATTTCCCCCTTGTTGTTATGAACACACGGTTACCTTGACTTTACCTCAAACATGTTGAAGTCGGGTCGGCCCCGAGGGGTACCCGCGAGAGATGTGAAGTCGGGTTGACCCTGAAGGTACCCGCGAGATAATTACGTGTCATGGCTGGGCAGTCTTGGCCCTTGTCGTAAGTCCGCAAGACGGGGAAACGGGACCACAGATCGTGGATCATTGATCGTCTCCGCGCTCTCCCAAGACACGAACGGGTTTGGATATGTGATCTGAGTAGGCCGGTGTCCTTTTCGCACTAACCACCATGCGGGAATAAGTATGGTCACTCGACGTCGTACGATTCTCCTGAAAGCTCTATAGACGTCATAGTTAAGTGGCACGCGCCTGGGTGGTCTGCGTAAGCACCTGCTTTGTATAAAGAGGTAGCCAGGACTAATCCCGACCATCCTCGCAACGCGCAAGATTGCAAAGGACGATTGGCGACCCCTTTGCATTTAGACGCTGCAAGATGCTAGTATTCGATAGAGTGGGCGTTCCCCTCTATTTTGGCAATTCTGTAGTATAGTCCACAAATACAGCCCCTTCCCATTGATACTGATGCATACTTAGCATAGATCTGATGTAAGTCTTGCGAGTACTTTGGATGAGTACTCACGATTGTTTTTCTATCTTTTTCTCCCTTTACTGATGATGCGATCAGATGACGGAGCCCGGGAACCAGCTGATCCCGTCGATGACTACTACTACACCGACGGACGACCAGGAGTAGATAGGAGGCTCCTAGGCAGGAGGCCTGCGCCTTTTTTTATCTAGACGTCGTTGTTTTGCTCTGCCTTCTTAAGGCTGACTTGTTTACTTATGTCTGTACTTAGATATTATTGCTTCCGCTAACTTACGTATTCGAGCCTTTGTGGCCATGGCTTGTAATATAAAGCTTTATGTTTGATGAATTTATGTCTAGAATTGTGTTGTGATATCTTCCCGTAAGCCTCTGATCTTGATCATGCATATTTACGTGTATGATTAGTGCACGATTAAGTCGGGACATCACATGGGGTAATTTTATCCCCAAGAGAAAAATTCATTTGCGGCCACTAAAGTTGTTGCAAAATTCACTTTGATAGTGTCCTTTGCAGTATCCAAAATATGGTCTGAAGTGGTTTAAGTGGCTCGCGTACGGTCACTCATATGATTTGATATATGTATTTCGCTTAGCTGGAATACGGTTAACATGTCCAACTGTCACATGGGCGACTGTGTGGATATGATGTGACATTTTGCAAAAAAAACACCTTGAGCTATCTGTCAGATGGACGAGAGAAATAAAAACACCCCTCGGCCATGGATATTTGATCTCACGACCTCGCGGGCTTGGCTAATGTGCAGGGTGGGGCCCAGGGTATTTCTTTTCTCTCAAAATGTCACACCACGTTGTCCACATAGTTATCGCTCATGCGGCGGTTGGACCCGTCAACCGTATAACAACTAAGTGAAATACGAATATCAAACTGTATGTGAGTCATTTAAGCCACTTCGGTGATCATATTTTAGATGTTGCAAAGTACGACCGCGAACCGCGACAAATTTAGTGACTGCAAGTGATATTTTTTTTTGCATCCACAATATCACTATAAAAAATACTCTTATATTATAAGATGGAGGAGTAGTTGACATGGAATATGTAAATCAAAATTTAGAAGAATTGACGACAAAGAAACCGAGGAGTTAAGATTTGAGGGGCATTTGGAAATTTCTCTAGCAAAAAGAGGTGCCCCGAGGGCTTCCCCGATGGAGTGTGATACATCTTCTCATCTCTCATCTGAACCGGTCGGCTGCTCTGCAAGACTGCAACCAAGTCTGTGCCCACAAGAGTGTCCCGATCTCGACGGCCCTCGCTGACATCAGCCCATGACCAGGTGACCAGACCTAAGCTCTCACGGCCATGGCGAGGGCGAAGGCACCGAGGCGGAAGCCGCCGCAGGCGGTCTCCCGACGGCTCCTCGGATTTTGCGGGCTGAGCTTCGCGGCGGCGTTGTACGTGGGGATTGACTACCTGCGGTACCTCTCGCCGACATGGCACGACCGGCTGCAGCCGGTGCTCTGGGCGGCGCTGGCGCTCGCCGCCGCCGCGCGCGCACCCTTCTACCGCCACTGGGATGTCGAGCTCCGGGCGGTGCTTCCCTTCCTCGGTTCCATCGTCTTCATGCTCAGCGCCTTCCTCATCGAGATGATCTCCGTCCGCTTCGTCTCCGTCCTGATGGGGCTCCAGTGGCACGGGTTAGTATCTTTGGGAACTCAGGAGGGAGCTTCCTCCTTGGCACATGCTTTAGCTTTTCGAGCTGTTTGGTCGCGAATTGCCATGGATCTCGGAGAGATTTGGTTTGTGTTGCTATTTTTGGTGCTTGTTTTGGTTTATGATGCTTGATGATATGCTTTTCAGATGTTTCTAGTGTGTGGTTCGTGTCAGGATGGTATGATCTTGGAGGATTACTTTTGAACTGTGAAACAATCGAGTAGTTTGTATCAGAGAGGCGTGTGTCTTGGAGTAGGGGTTTAATTGTTGAGTGTGGATAATGGTTAAACTTGACGGGTGAAGAATTAGGCTTGTAATGACATACAATTGTTATCCTGGAGAGGGCTGTGAAACATTTCAGAGACTGCAGTTTGGGGGATCTTGAAGAAGTTTATTTCGTAGGTAGACCAAACCTAGAAAATGCTGCGTTTATCCTGTTTATTATTATGGTGCTCAAAACCAGTGGCGTAATAGAGATTCATGGAGATGATAGTATTTATCATGACAAGTGCGTAAAGTGAACCTTGTCGATTAATTGTTGCTACGGCTTCTTGTTGCTGTATATAATTTTGGTGAATGTTGCGTGGCAAATGCATCTTTGTGTAGCCTCTTCGTCTGTCAAGTTTTATTTCAATCATATTTCTGTGGGTTATTGGTCATTGCTAGAGGTACATACCTTGTTTGACTGTTGTTACTCCATGCTATTTTTGGAGTTTTAAAATATTCCTTTGCAGCCTTGTAATGAAGAAAGAAGTCCACATTATTTCTTGTTCAAAATAAGCAAAAGTTTTTATGGTGATTAGTGTTTCAAAGAGTTCAGTTTAAGCAAGGTATCAATGATCTGAACAAAGGGGCATCTAGAAGTTAAGTGGTTAAGAAAGGCATAAGCATTGCTTCATGCTTGGGCAAGTGTATTCCTGTTTGATTACTGAGCATTGGTGTTTACTCTCTCAATCTGATTTACATAAATGAGCTAACCTTCCCTAAATATGCTCCCATTGTGCCCATTGACAAAACATCGAGAAGTTCATATCATGCCTCATTAGATGGCAAGATGGGACTGCACTAGGTTTATTTGGTCATGGCTTTTCAGCTAAGTGTAACTGCCTTTGTGATATGTTGTCAACTTGCCCTCTGTAAAAAGATCATGGTTCGGTCATACTTTGGCTCTCATTGTCAAGGAGTTGCAGTACTTACGGACTTTAACTTTTTATAGTTATTTATTTGCGTGCTCTCATTTCCTTGCCCAGATAAATACATGCATGGATCCTAAATTTTCACACAGTTACCTGTAAACTAAACCTTTTTTTTAATTGTTTTAACAGATCTGCTGCTCCACTTCCTGACACTGGCCAATGGCTGCTTCTAGCTTTGAATGAGAAGCTTCCTGGAAGTGTTGTTGATCTATTGAGAGCTCATGTTATCACTCTTCACCATTATTTGATGTTATTTATGATGTTGGGGTTCTCAGTGCTGTTTGATTGCATCAAGGCTCCTGGTCTTGGAATAGCCACAAGATATATGTTCACCATGGCAGTCGGACGGTTGCTTCGGGTGGCAACTTTTGTTGGTACAATTCTTCCATCTGCGAGACCTTGGTGCGCTGCAGGTCGTTATCAAATACCTGGGCACCCTCATCCCTGGGCGCAAAAATATTATGTTCCATATGCTTCTGATTCACATGCTATTCGTGCGGTCATAGACACTGATATGGCTTATGGTTAGTGTATTTGTCTTATATCACGTAATTGAAGTATGTATGTTTCTGGGATTTGAAAACTGAATTGTCCTTTAAAAAATACAGCTGATGTTCAAGCTTACCCTGATGAGTACAGTCCTGACTGGGGTCGGATGAGTTTCTTAGTAGACATTTTGAGGCCAACCCCTGGAGAGGGGCCTGCATGGTACCATCTGTTGAAAAAAGCCAGTGGAGGTTGCAATGATCTTATGTATAGTGGGCACATGCTTGTCGCTGTTCTTACTGCCATGGCATGGACGGTACGTAATTCATTTTACTTTTCTGTGTTACAACACCATAGTCTGAATATCCCCCGCTGTACTGAAACTGAATTTCCATTATCTGGAGCCACCACTTCCAATCTAGGTTCTATATTCCATTTTCTTGGATATTGTTTAACCAGTTGCATGTAATTGATGACATCTTAACTCATTTTCGACCTGTTTCACACGCATATAGGAAGCTTATGGAGGCTGGATTTCTGTTGCAATATGGTTTCTCGTCCTGCACAGTGCACAAAGGGAGGTACGTGAACGGCATCATTACACCGTGGACTGCGTCGTGGCAATCTACGTCGGAATCCTCTTGTGGAGGATGACATGGTTCATCTGGTCTGCTAGAGATGCCAGCCGAGCTAGAAGGCTTGCTAAGCTTGAAGAGGTTCAGAGCAGGCTAATTCATGCAGCAAAGGATGCAGACGTCAATGAAATCCGGGATCTGCTGAAGGAGGTTGAGCTAGCAGGCCATGACAAGCCCGGCTTTTCACAGAGAGCCATCCTGGCCTTCGCTGCAGCTACAATTATTTTCACGCTGACCTGTGTTGTCCTTGCCCTTACTTTAACCAGTGACGGGTGATTTCAGTTGCTAGAATCCCTTAGATTTTACCCCATTTTCTTGGGTTACACTATTGTTCTCTGCAGTTTGAGACCATCGAGTGTCATTTCTCGCAGGAAACATGTTTGAGCAAAAATGCAAGTTCAGTTTAGCGCCGTCAATTCGATATAAGTTGATAAGTTTGCAAAATGTTGCCGTCGATCATGTTTTGAGCTTGTGTCGTCGTGAACTGTAGCAATCCTGCTGTGTTCTTTCCTCTGCACCGACCGAAGATATTAGAGAACAAAACTGATGATTTGAACATGGCAGTTGAACTTCTCAAACTCCAATTACATGTCTCTCTTTAACTAGTTATATTAGATACTTAAAATATCATATTTGTAGATGTGTATCAGAATGTATTTCATAATATTATAATTCTGGTGAGTTCGTACAAATATGTTGTCAGTTTTTCTATCTGTCAATCTCTAAGTCGATGCTAAGAACAATTTAATATTATTATTTTTGCAAGAAAATTTTAAAAATATTTTGCAAGGAAGAACCATTTAATATGAACATTGAGATTTGCGTTATGAATGTTGGTAGAGAAATAACTATTTGTAAGTCAATTGAGAAATAGCCATTCAATATATATCATACTGAAAGTTCATGTTGGCGATAGTGAAATTTTTCGAGGGTACGAGATACGTGAACTAGAGAGAGTACAATCTACGGATGGTTCTTTGTTAGACTAAAGAAAATCCATTTTTCGTTTCTATAGGGACAATTTCAAATTCTTTTTATGTTGTTATATGTTTACTTTTTTTTAATGTCTAGGGCCACTTTGATTTGTGGGATTCTCAAAACGTATGAATATAGTGTCATGCCCACTTGTGCGAGTAGGGCATTTCGGAGACCGAGCTTCATGAAAGCCTTAATTTCGAGAAAATATCGAACTTTTCAGTTTGAAAATATTCTGAAAAAATACAAATCTATACTACTATTAAACAATTAAACAAGAACTTCTTTAAGCACACCTCATAAAAGCGTACACAGATCCAATACCACCACACGATTAGGCCCACTAAAATCAATCTAACAGTTAGACTTAACCTAAACCATTTTCTGTGTGCACTTAGCAATTTACATTGACTGACTGTACTCCATCTTGGAGGAAAATATGAAACTCCACGTCTGAGCAACTAGGAAACTAATAATCACGGTGCATCCTATTCTAGGAAACTAAATCAGAGTGCATCCATCCTATTAAGAAACTAATCTCAGACAAATTCATCCTATTAAAAAACTTATCTCGGATGCATCCATCCTATTAGGAAGCTAATCGCGAGCCGCCTGCCGCCATCATGCACGCTAGCCACGATGGGGGAAGCGCGAGGAGCTTCGTCTTCCTCCGGGAACACAGGTGCTATCGCCGCCATCGTCTTATGTTTGGAGGCCAGGCGCTCTTCTGCCGCTACTGCGACAACTCCATCCACGTCCAGGGCATGCTCTGCGGCAATCATCGGCATTCGCGTTGACTTCCGCTCCGCTCGCAGCACCCACGCCGACAAAGTGTCTGTTCAGTGGGTGCACATGCATTACATATTAAATAAGAATCGTGGGGCTTCAAGCAATCTAGAATTATAAATTTGGGATTATCTTAGGTTGCCGATTGTTATATTGAAAATGTGTAATTATATATGGCACGTACATAAGAATGCATCAATCTTGTCTTACAAAGTAGGATCAAGAGGGATACTGAAGAAGTCAAGATGCAGAGTCTATTTCCCATGATTACTTCTCATGTTCATGTCAGTTTCCTTGGGCTTTACTTCGTACCACCATATGCATTAAACTGGACCGTATCAAGAGATAACATCATCCCCTTGATTAGAATTGCCTTATTTGTGCTATTTGATCAGTGTGTGTTTTACGTATGATGTTGCTTTACCTACAATTAAGGTGGGTTGCACCTGCCTAGGCACTATCTCCAGGGATAGGTTGGAAATCAGAATATATGATTCATTCTTAGAGAAAACTTTAGACGCGTCACTTTAATATAATTGCACAGCAATCCAGTAAATTATGTAAGATTCAGTAGGAGGCAAGATATTGAAGATGTACTACTATTTCAGTTACATGATTCTATACATCTAAAATGGGTCACATGACTCCGTAAGTCGTAATTGTTGTTAGAGAATATCTCTCGCTGTTCTGTAAAGATATGCAATCTCTACTGCGTTCCAATAAAAAGAATTTTACCATACAGAAGGATCCAATGAAGAAACTAATCCGACTGAGTTCCAATAAATAGATCCTTCAAAGGATCTGTCCTAATACAGCTGCCGTATATTGGTACAGAGAAATCATATAAACTGTACTCAGTCGGATTTATTTTGTTTCATGACAGAGAAACCAAATACCTTTCGTTATTTTGGCACATATATTTATTCTTATATACTTGTGCAGTTTCGAATGATCCAACATATCTGCAGTCATCAAACTTGAAGACATGTTGTTTAAGGCCTTATTTGCATCGCCTCTCTTTCTTTGTCTGCGCGCCTCTTTCCTCCAATAGTAATAATGAACAACTTTTTCCGGATCAGGTATTACATATTGGGGAACGTAGCAGAAATTCAAAATTTTCCTACGTGTCACCAAGATCTATCTATGGAGAAACTAGCAACGAGGGGAAGGAGAGTGCATCTACATACCCTTGTAGATCGCTAAGCGGAAGCGTTCAAGAGAACGGGGTTGAAGGAGTCGTACTCGTCGTGATCCAAATCACCAGAGATCCTAGTGCCGAACGGATGACACCTCCGCGTTCAACACACGTACAGCCCGGTGACGTCTCCCATGCCTTGATCCAGCAAGGAGAGAGGGAGAGGTTGAGGAAGACTCCATCCAGCAGTAGCACAACGGCGTGGTGGTGATGGAGGAGCGTGGTACTCCAGCAGGGCTTCGCCAAGCACCACAAGAGACGAGGATGGAGAGGGGTAGGGCTGCGCC